CCCTCTTATCCATTACACTGCTTGATCTAAAGTAGTCTATTAAAGTATAATTAATTACCTTACCGTGTTTATGCCAGAGGTACACCCTCATGTCCTGTTCCATCCTTTCGGAAATATCACCACAAATCTGGCTCTTTGTCAACAGCTAGACTCGCGAACATGCCAGCGAATCCGATTCAATTTGAATTCACTACACTTTGAAGCCACTAGGTCACAAAACACTTTCCAAAATGTAGAAAATAATATCCGTAGAATCGAATTTGAGCACAAAGTACACACATGAGTGTGTAAGGGTCACCACAGCTGTCGCACGCAGACGTAGAGGTGCGTGAAGTCGTCAAGTTGACAGGGCGCAAAATTCAACAGTATCTAAATTCGGTACAACACGGACTTCTCGTTACAGCAAAAGCGCCTCTACTCTTAAATTTTGTACCAGTATACCAGTAATTAGATATCAAAGACTATCTCAGTCATACAATCAGGTTAACCTTGCGCAAACTGTCAGAGGCTCTCCTGTCGCATCTTTCCAAATTTGCACGTAAATGTAAACAATGACTTCCGAGACAAGGTCAAGGCCATGAGGTTGCTGCCATTATTCTGGTGGGGAAAGGGTCTACGGTGGAATTTTCAAATGTGAACCAAGCTTTTTAAACTTATTTGATATATGTTTTCCAACTTATCAGTTAATGATCGGTGATTAATGCATTGAAAAAAACAACGTGATTTGTTATTACTGAATCTGGAGTCGGTTAGTTATTGACGGTATGCCACCAATCACCCCGTTTCGGGCGATGCCACTTGAGATTGGAATGCGAGGCCGCTTCACGTATTGACTCATAACCAAAGAAAGAGTTCCAACTGAAATTGTTCATAAAATAGTCATGGTAGAATGGAGATAAACCTACTGTGTGGGAAAATCAGAGGTATATAACGAAATTATAATAGCTCTAAATTGTTCATTTAAAACCTCACGCTACGCGTTCGGTTTTAAATGAAATTTAGAGCTATTATAATTTCGTTATATACCCCCTCATTTTCCCACTAAGTAGGTTTATCTCCTAAATAATACACGCACACCCACATGCACACGCACGCGCACACACAGGTGTGTGTGTAAGACAAAGGCTATGTTAACTGATTCAGACATAATATTCATCAGTTTGTCTTGCAATAACAAGTTGCCTGTTGAAATAAAAAATGTACAAATTAGAAACTTGCAAAATTGGCAAAGTGAACGGTACACCTTTGTTTGACTTCATACCGTAGTTTTTTTGTTTGTTTATTTTTTATTTTATTTTCGCCCGGCGTTTCGATGGCATAGCTATTTGACTGTGCCCCACTGCAATGGTTGAAGAATAAGGTTGTACTGTGGGAAATCTAAACCAGGGTGACTATCATCAGTATCCACATCCCAGGCATCTCTCGAGTGAATAAACCTTTCTACTTCTTTTCACGCAAGACAGACAGTTCCCAGTATTTTGTTGATATAATAAGTTATCATTTTCCAAGAAAATATTGGAAATGTGGGTTTTCTGATGATGTGAAACGATCTCCCACTGGTCTGACGAAAGTCGATTTCTTTTGTTTGTTGTGTTTGCGGCTGCAGAAACGCTGCATATGCACAAGAATATATCTTGGAGCAAGTACCATTTGGCGGGGTTCATTGATGTTGTGGAAGACCACAGACATGACTGTAAACCTGACCTTGTGACAATCAGACAAAATCTGAATGGACAACGGCACATGACTGATATCGCAGACAGTTGTACCACAGAAACAAACAAACAAACAAACAAATAAATAAATAAACAAATAGGCAAGAACAAGTCTTAATTTCAGTCTTGACTTAACCCATCATTGGAGTCTTGAGGGGAACTGAGTTTTATTTATTTTTCCGGGATCAAGGATACACGAGTCACAGAGTCTCCTAAGGCGCCGCAATCAGTTGTGCACAGTAGCGACTTGGGTAAGAGAGAGAGACTGAGTTGGGTTTCTCAATAGGACCCGGGTACCCCTCAGATTATCAGGACCCGTTGTTAGTCATATGGTCATCGTTAATGGCCAAAACAATATAACTCCATGATCACAAGTGGCAAATATAATGTTTGCACTACTTCTGGCCATGCATGTATTCCTTCTGGCTTTTACATGTGTGAGTAAAGTTCAAGTTTCATTCAGCCTCAGTGGATGAATCACTAGTTCTATTCCTGTTTCTGGAAGAACTTTGCCAGGACACCGGTACAACGATATACATATTTCCGTTTTGAGCTGATTTACACAGTTTACAAATTGGTTTTTTACATCCATACCGCCGGCAACGCAAAAAACACCCTCTGTAGTCAAAACGACAAATATGTTTAATAAACTGATTCTAAAACAGTTTTTCAGAATCCCCAAACCGAAAACCCCCTCTCTGGCAGCGCCCTCTACATACAGATTGTTCAGTGTTACACAAAATTCGTCATCACCTGCGTTGTTGCTGCCAATGACGTCACAGACAGCGTCACGTGACACTTCAACAATCACTGCGTCTTTTTATTGGAAAGCTTTAGAGATGGGTTTGTTTGGTGTTTTACAGGGAGTGTGTAGTTCCCTGACGTTGCAACATCTACGCGATGTCACTGCTAAAAGCATCGTACAAGAAGCAGGGTAAGATATAGTCAACCTGTATTAAATGCTTCCGATTCGGTTAAGGAGCCGTTATAATGACGGGCTTAGTGACAGACCATTGACACTTGTCACTATTCATAGGCGCCCTATGATTAACAATTTACTTATAGAACTAAACATTTAGATACATTTTTGGGGCTGCCTTAAAAAGGATGAGACTGGTCTAGTGTTGCTGGGTTTTTTTCCTTAAACGCAAGCGCGAACGCACACACACACGCACTCACGAACTATGTACTTATTTTAAGGAATTATATATTGATCATGTTGATATTTTATTCGTTAGTTCCCATTTTAAGATGTATGTTTCCAGGTCCATACTCTCTAGCTTGCCCCGCTCTGTGGTACAGAACGCCAAGGTCGATCTGGGTAAGTTGTCTACACCATGCCTTTACATGAGTGAATGTTGTTTTACATTGGTGTACAAAACAGTAATCTTCATACCTTCCTGAATGTTATTTCGCCACAAAGGAACAACAAATGGGGTGGGGTAGGAGGCTTATGTACCTGAGTAATACACATGTCGTATTTAATGTTTTACAGAACTGAAGTCTGGATTTGCGAAAGCGGTCGTGACTGGAGGGACTGCTCTGTTGTGTAAGTAGTGTCAGTTGGGCTTATCACATCAAATCTCCAACCTATAACCTTGTGCCTTTGTCTTTACAATAGAGGAGTGAGTGAGTGAGTTGGGTTTAAATCCGCTTTGAGAGGACATGTTCGTTATATCACGGTGTGTCAGTCTGATTGGGGAGGAAAGCGGGAAGCGATGCATTTCTTTGGTGGCACCATCATGGCGCTGACAAATCTGGAAACATCATCATATAACTTAATGATTACTTTATCTGTTTAAAATGGGAGGAAAAAACCAGTAATACACGTTAGCCATGTGAAACACAATAACACATTGTAGGAACATGATAATGATCGGGACAAAAATCTGTTTCAAAACATTGAGCTGTGGATCCTTAAACGACCAAGGGACACAACCCTTCATCCGTATTCCTGGTAGTATACACTATACATCTCCTGTTTCAGGTGTTGCGGGTATGACGTATATTGTGAACAAGTATGGAGGGTCTGCCCTACGACGAAAATATTTTAATAAAAAAAAAAACAGAAGTGAAAGACACGTGCTCAGTCAAACCACATCACCCTGACGCTGAGGGACTTGAATCGGACTCCTGTTCCAGCCAACTATATGATCCAAAGTGGTGTGTGTCCCCTGGCAGCCTGTGGTGGGAAGTGGCAGGGGATGCCTGGTCCCGAGGGGAGGGGGTTCCCAATGACCCACTGTACGGGATACCCCCATGGATGGAGGCAGGCGGGCGGGACGAAAGTGAAGATGAAAGCCTCAGCTGGGACGAAGAATTTAATATTCCAGCAGGTGCCCTGTGGGCTGACATTTGTCCTGTGGTGGACTTGGTTTCAGAGGCACCCTACTAGCTGGAGGAGGAGGAAGTGGTGTAGGAGACAAGGTGAACAAGAGGGGAACGGTGTTGGAGGAGGAGCAGCGGGGATGTATAGAAGAGTGAGTGAGTTTAGTTTTACACCGCTTTTTGCAATATTCCATCAATATCACGGCGGGGACACCAGAATGGGCTTCACATATGACCCATGTGGGGAATCGAACCCGGGTCTTCGGCATGATGAGGGAACACTTTAACCACTAGGCTACCCCACCTCCCCTACAGGCATGGACTAATGCGATAAGCTTTGCTGAAACATCTGTTGTAGAAGAAGGTGTAGCAGGGACTCAAGGGGGGATGGGGTGCAGGAGGAGGTGTGTAGATGCAGGCTAGGGAAGGGAGGGAGGAAACTGGGTCATTCATAAAGAACATCAAAACAAATATAATTAAGAAAAATATTCCTTTGTTGTTTTTGCTGCTGTTATCACCTGCATGGACTATTTTTAAACCTTGTAAAAAGATATATTTATTCACCTCGTGTTTATATCATTGTGATACATATTTACAAAACATACAAAAAATATTTGCTATGTTACCAAATACTTGCTTGATATTTGTGTATATTTATTAAATGTTAAAACATATTGTGGTGTTATTTTGAATTAATAAAATATCTTACATTATATATATCTTACATTATATTATCTCATGTACAAAATATCGTGTCTTACATTACATCCGTGGCACCCTTGCTACATTACATGCACCATCTGTGAATACAACAGACAATTACAACAAACCCTTGCAGATGGTTGGATATCATTAGAGTTATTGTGAACTGTGAAAATCTCCCAGGAACTGTACACGGCTGTTGCTCCAGAGGTGGTTGCGTTTCAGACACTCCAATATAAATAACAAGCATATCTGTATTTCTTAAGCAATATTTATTCAAAAAGGACTAAAACAAACCAAGTAAAGAAACAAGATGAAAGCATTTTGAAGTCAATGTTTGATTCCAACCTTTTTTCTAAACCACACACATTATTTTTTTATAACAGTGACACACACAATATCAACAAAATGTCTATATACATCGCTTCCAGAAGTTTGGACTGACAAATCAGCCCTGTTATTTCCAGAACCAGGGACACTACACCCGATAATGTTATAGTAACACAAAAGCCAACACTGTAAAACTCAACTCAACACTAGAACACTAAAACTAAGGTGTTACTGTAAAACTAAAACAACACTATAATACTAATCCCTGATTACAGTACACTAAACTTAACACTGTAATACTAATCCCTGATTACAGTACACTAAACTTAACACTGTAATACTAATCCCTGATTACAGTACACTAAACTTAACACTATAATACTAATCCCTGATTACAGTACACTAAACTTAACACTGTAATACTAATCCCTGATTACAGTACACTAAACTTAACACTGTAATACTAATCCCTGATTACAGTACACTAAACTTAACACTGTAATACTAATCCCTGATTACAGTACACTAAACTTAACACTGTAATACTAATCCCTGATTACAGTAACTCTAAACTTAACACTATAATACAAATCCCTGATTACAGTACACTAAACTTAACACTGTAATACTAATCCCTGATTACAGTACACTAAACTTAACACTGTAATACTAATCCCTGATTACAGTACACTAAACTTAACACTGTAATACTAATCCCTGATTACAGTACACTAAACTTAACACTGTAATACTAATCCCTGATTACAGTAACTCTAAACTTAACACTATAATACAAATCCCTGATTACAGTACACTAAACTTAACACTGCAATACTAAACCCTGATTACAGTACACTAAACTTAACACTGTAATACTAAACCTGATTACAGCACACTAAACTTAACACTGCAATACTAAACCCTGATTACAGTACACTAAACTTAACACTATAATACTAAACCCTGATTACAGTAACACTAAACTTAACACTATAATACTAAACCCTGATTACAGTACACTAAACTGAACACTTTAACACTAAAGGAAAGGTCGTTAATGGAAAACTAAAGCAACACTAAATGCAACACTGTTACCGTAACACAAAAACCAACATTATGATAACAAACCCAACAATGTAACACTAAACCCAACAATGTAACACTAAACCCAACATATAACACTAAACCCAACAATGTAACACTAAACCCAACACTGTAATACTAAACCCAACACTGTAATACTAAACCCAACACTGTAATACTGTTTGTTTCAGACAATGAAAGGCATAAAAATATGCCTATAAATAGTGGGAATACTCCCACCTAATTGTTGATTTGCTTTCTTTCTTCTTTATTTACGAATAACCCTGATATAGCAACTTCGAACCACCCTTGTTGTTCCATATCACTTCCATGATGTATGGTGAAGTTGCATTTTTGACAAAAACTATAATATACAAATGTACTATAGAAGCCTTTATCTTAAGCAGAAGATCTCAAACTCATTTAAAATAAACAGGATGATGATGATGGTTTGAGGTTTAACGTCGGCTTCTGACTGTAGACAATGTCGCCGACAGGGTAGGTGGGATATAAGATAATAATTAATAAGTTTATAATAAGGAATAAATCACCGTACCCAAAAAAATGTAAATGCTGGGGCGTTAACCTAAGTGGAATTTTGAATAAAAACGTTTAAAAACAGATAAACGAAATAAAATAGTAAAAGCCGAGTTTATGAAGGGAAAAGAGAAATAAAAAGGGGTAATAATTGTTAATAGGTAAGAGATAGGATTAAATTAAATGATAGTGTAAAGAGGGGCCTAGGATGTGAGGGGTGTGTGTAGGGGTAAGTTATAAACACCATATATAGCATAGTGGGGCATAGAATGTAGATTCAGTTAAGCTGCATTAGTTTAAAATAAACAGGATGATCTCAAACTCATTAAAAAGTATGTTCTATCAAAACATGAGTATAAAGGGCTCCAATCAGGCTTACAAAAACATCTTAATTCTTTAAGGGGATTACGTAATGATCAAAGTGTGAGACTACTTAATGATACATGAAAGAGGATTAAGTAGTGATCAAAATGTGACAAATAGAGAACAACATCTAGGAACAACAGCCAATTAGGAAAACATAAATGCTATCAAAACAATGCTTGCAATGCTTGAGAAAAACAACTTGATCAAAGATCAGGACACACTAAAACCTTTAACAATAGCAATTTGAGAAGAGTGGATTTTGTCCATTTTATTGTTAAGAAGAGGTGGATTTTGTCCGGGGTGGCAAATTTGGGGTGGATTTTGTCCAGTCACCAAATAGTGTAGATTTGCTTTTTCATTTGAATATGGGCATGGAATATCCTGACATTTAAATATAGGAGTTGATATGTAATCAGAAGCCGACGTTAAACCCCAAACCATCATCATAATCAGACAATACTAAAGACATCTTCATCTTTACTACAGTTGTAAAAACATAACTTGACTGTTTTTACCAATATTATATGGTGGACACTTGGAAGTTCCAGAAATAGTTCGTTAAGCATGCATTGTAGTAGTCACATTGTGGACAGGCACATTTTGGCTGGGCGAAAAAGAGGTTGAAAAATATTCGATATGAGTATAATGACACAAAATGTATATCATCAAGAAAAGCAACCATCCAAAGGTCTTTCAGTCACTTCTGAAATGATTTGTTTGACATTTTCGTTTGTTTGTTGTTTAACAGTGCACTCAGCAGTATATCACCTACATGATGGAAGTTTGTTAAAAAATCAGTAACCAGCAGTTCCTGTCATATCAAAGGGACACAACTATGCACAGCAAGTTGTGGAGCCTAAAATCTTTCTCTTGACCCCACTTATATGGTTCTCAAACAGAAACACTATTAACAAGACTCATCAGAAGATGTCATATCCCCCCAGCCCCCACATCTTTGAAAGAACAAATCATCTGACAGTTACTTAAAGTCCAGCTTGATTTTAGACTAAGTGCAAATCGTTTCCATGGAAATCATGAAAAAAATAAATGACAAAAATCTGCAAATAGCAAAAGGCACCACTTCAAGATCTGCCTCACATATCTGCTAAGTTTTACCGAAAGATATTAAGAAGATTTTGAGTTGTGCTCCGGAAACGAAACCTACCCCACCCTTTTGAGATTAAGTATTATTACTGACGGATGGACGGACAGACGGACAGACGGACGAGGCGATGACTATATCCCCCCGCATTACATGCCTGGGGGATAAAAATCAGTGAAAATTGGCAAATTCTTTACAAAACTTTACACCAAGACGCAGCTGTTCACAAGCACATGCTTTTCAGCAATTTGATGCATGATCCTCGTGCAATTCATCTGCATAAGGTTTGCAGTTTGTTCCCCCAAGTTATAGTCCGTAAACTTAACTTTTGGCACCCTGTTTTTCACAAGTTATACAACACTCCTGAATATTTTAAAACACTACTCTGTTCATATGGTAATTGTATACTGTGACCTAACAAGATATCAATTTTAGTAATTTTAAAACGATTATTAAAGATTTTGCCTTTAAACCTGTCATATAATAATTGTAAAACTGTGGAGAGTTTTACAAGGGGTTAATGCACGTGATGGAAAAGCCAACAACACTGTAAAATGTGTGTCAGCATGATATGTACAGGCACGGGTATTTACATTAGCATGCTTAAGTGATGTCAAAGATCGTCAACAAGCACAGGTTGTAGGAAAAATGATGTTGCACAAAGATGACCGTCAAATAATCAAAAGAGTTTACAACTTTTTCAAGCACGAGGCAAAGCGAAATTCTTTTTAAAACATTTCAATTGAATGTTTCTCCAAAAGACATTTAATGCCTCTAAGATCTGCAAAACAATATTGCAAAGAGTTATCTCCCATGACACTATTTCAGAGCCTGACGATGACATGGCTGTTAACTCGGGGACCGTCTCAAAAAATGCAAAGAAAACAAAGCTTGATGAATTCGATAGAAGGGTTGTGAGGGACTTCATGCGTCGGTTACATCGATCCATATTGTCAAGCAAACTGAAGAAAATATTGTTCAAAAGAAGACCATGACATCAATGTATCAAAGCATACCATATGCAAGCTGTTGCTCAAATTTGGATATAGATACAAGAGATCAAGCAACCAGTCTTTAAAGACTTCAATGAATCTACTTGTTTAAAATGGATTTATGATGATTATAGAGTCCCTGTAGATTTGCTTGCAGGCGTAACAATGTAAACAAGATGCACGGGTGTCACACCATGTTGTTGGCTGTTCCATCGTATCATTTTACTCCCTTGTATAACTACTTCTATTTTTCATATTTTTATAAGATGGCTTCTTAAGAAGAAGCTTTAATAATTGACATAAAATTATTAAATGTAAACCTTAGATAGGTCATAAGATATAAAGAGCGTATGCACAGAAACATTTTAAAGGCATTTTTGGTTAAAAGGTAAATTGGGAAAAACAGGGTGCCAAAAGTTCAGTTGACGGACTATAGTGGAGAAATCAATCTCAGATGTATACATTTATATAGCCATAGCATATAGTGAGTGTTTTAAGTGAGTCTAAACTTTTGAAAGGAAATATAATTTACAAAAGCTGCCGCACCTAAAACATAGTGTAAGTCGGTTTCAGTCAGTGCAGGCCCTTGACATAAACCACATTTGTGAATTCCACAAGCTCAGGTATGGTGCAAATAAACCCTGAAACACAATCAGGCAGAACAGGGATTTGAACATGATCATTGACTTTGTGTAGGCACAAGGGAGGCAACTCTGAACAACAGTAAGGCACATATGACCGACTTCACCACTTGTGTCACCCCCCAACTAGTGACTAGGGCCCTACAGGAGTCAAAATGTAGCAATTTCTGTTTCAGTATTTCAGCCTTTTTTATCTACATTCAGAATCTGATGTGTTAGTTCTGGGTGAGTGAGTGAGTGAGTTTAGTTTTAAGCCGCTTTTAGCATTATTCCAGCAATATCATGGCAGGGGACACCAGAAATTGTACCCATTCACACATTGTATCCATGTGGGGAATCGAACCTGGGTCTTTGGTGTGATGAGCAAACACTTTAACCATTAGGCTACCTCATCGCCCTTTCTTACATAGGAAAAAACCCATATATTCTGGTATGAATGTTTCATTTATCAGGACCAAGAATACAGACATTTTGATGCTCACTGTCCAAAAAGAAAGTTCTCCATAAAAAAACATTCTGAGGAGTTGTCGTCAGATCTTCTTGAAGAGAGGAAACATATTGGATCTGATTTCAATGTTTTGCTGTACTCTGCATAATGTTCTGTGGAATTTGATGAAATGCCTACCATCAAAATATACCATTATCAAATCTATGCATTAAACTCATGTATATAAAAATATCTTTTTACATACATAACCAAACATATTTTCTTTTTGACTTCAAATTCAAATATTTCAAGTAAAGTATAATGAAAAGGCAAATAACATGTGTATACTGAGCTAGTGAGTTTGGTTTTACGCCGCTTTTAGCAATATTCCAGCAATATCATGACGGGGACACCAGAAATGGGCTTCACACATTGTGCCCATATGGGGAATCGAACGCAGGCCTACAGCGTGACGAGCAAATGTGTTAACCACTGGGCTACCCCACTGCCCCTACACATGCTATATTAGTTGAAGGATATGATGCAATCATGGAAAGATTTAAAGCTAAATACGTGTTGGCCATATGAAATACAGGTGGCAAGAAAAGCTTCCTTGAAGAGCAACACTCTTATTGGTAGATGCCTGTTCTTTCTCTCATGTTCTTGAAGCCATAGTTGAGCTCAGCGCCACCGGACAGGTTGAGATCGATGCCGGTACAGAAGGTGCCCTCTGCTGCCAGAAACAAGCAGGCCTGGCCACACTCCTCGATAGTGCCAAACCTCCCCAGAAGCTGAAACAAAAGGGAGAAAGTAAGCAATAAATTCTTAGATATATCCCCTTTTTGATTGTTGAGGGATTTCCCATTTAACTTCTTGTTCTGTCTGTGTAGGGGGTTAGCTCTTTGGTCATGTGGACAAGGCATCAGACTTCAAATCAGAAGGTCCATGGGTTCGAATACCAGCATGGAACTCGGAAATTTTATGGACGCTGATTCTATGTTCTCAAACCAGAACGACATGGGATTAAAATGATTCCTCTATGTACAAGATTTTATACATCCCGGGATTCTTCTCATGAGGGCTTATCACTCCTTTATACAGGTCTGTGGGTTCTCATACCCTCTTTATACAGCCCTTTGGGTTATCTTTACTTATACAATCCTGTGGGGCCCCCTTACAAGAGGGTTCAGACTGACACAAGAGGGTTCAGACTGACCCATACATGCCCACATGTCCATCTTACCCGTGCTCTTGATTTGATGCTCAATACAAACATGGTGATCCTCTTATACAGCAATGCAGTTAGCCCTCACCTTTACCCCTTTACAAGACCACATGTGTCCCCCTCACCTGTGCATCAGAACCCCCCTTTATACAGCCCTGTGGTTCACCCTCACCTGTGCATCAAAACCCCCTTTATACAGTCCTGTGTGTCCCCTTTCCTGTGCATCAGCACCCCCCTTTATACAGACCCATGGTTCCCCTCACCTGGGCATCAGCACCCCCCTTTTTACATTCCTGTGTGTCCCCTTTCCTGTGCATCAGCACCCCCCTTTATACAGACCCGTGGTTCCCCCTCACCTGTGTATCAGCACCACCCTTTATACAGCCCTGTGTGTCCCCTCACCTGTGCATCAGCAACCCTTTTATACAGCCCTGTGTGTCCCCTCACCTGTGCATCAAAACCCCCTTTATACAGCCCTGTGTGTCCCCCTCACCTGTGCATCAGCACCCCTTTATACAGACCCGTGGTTCCCCTCACCTGTGTATCAGCACCACCCTTTATACAGCCCTGTGTGTCCCCCTCACCTGTGCATCAGCACCCCCCTTTATACAGCCCTGTGGTCTCCCTTACCTGTGCATCAGCAACCCTTTTATACCGCCCTGTGTGTCCCCTCATCTGTGCATCGGCAACCCCCTTTATAAGCCCTGTGTGTCCCACTCACATTTGCATCGGCACCCTCTTTATACAGCTCTGTGTGAACCCTCACCTGTGCATCAGCACCCTTTATACAGCTCTGTGTGTACCCTCACCTGTGCATCATCACCCTTTATACAGCCCTGTGTATCCCCTCACCTGTGCATTGGCACCCCCCTTTATACAGCACTGTGTGTCCCCCTCACCTGTGCATCAGCAACTGCCTTTATACAGCCCTGTGTGTCCCCTCACCTGTGCATCAGCACCCCCCTTTATACAGCCCTGTTTGTCCCTCTCACCTGTGCATCAGCAACACCCTTTATGCAGCCCTGTTTGTCCCCTCACCTGTGCATCTGCACCCCCCTTTAAACAGCCCTCTTGTTCTCCCTCACCTGTGCTTCAGCACCCCCCTTTATACAGCCCTGTGTGTCCCCTCACCTGTGCATCAGCACCCCCTTTATACAGCCCTCTGTGTCCCCTCACCTGTGCATCAGCACCCCCCTTTATACAGCCCTGTGTATCCCCTCACCTGTGCATCAGCACCCCCCCTTTATACAGCCCTGTGTGTCTTCCTCACCTGTGCATCTGCAACCCCCCTTATACAGCCGTGTGTTTCCTCCTCACCTGTGCATTGGCAACCCCGCTTATACAGCCCTGTGTGTCCTCCTCACCTGTGCATCGGCAACACCCCTTATACAGCCCAGTGTGTCCCCTCACCTGTGCATCAGCACCCCCCTTTATGCAGCCCTGTTTGTCCCCTAACCTGTGCATCAGCACCCCCCTTTAAACAGCCCTCTTGTTCCCCCTCACCTGTGCATCAGCACCCCCCTTTATACAGCCCTGTGTGTCCCCTCACCTGTGCATCAGCACCCCCCTTTATAAAGCCCCTGTGTGTCCCCTCACCTGTGCATCAGCATCCCCCTTTATACAGCCCTGTGTATCCCCTCACCTGTGCATCAGCAACCTCCTTTATACAGCCCTGTGTGTCCCACCTCACCTGTGCTTTGGCACCCCCTTTATACAGCCCTGTGTGTCCTCCTCACCTGTGCATCGGCAACCCCCCTTATACAGCCCTGTGTGTCCCCCTCACCTGTGCATCAGCACCCCTTTATACAGCCCCTGTGTGTCCCCTCACCTGTCCATCAGCACCCCCTTTATACAGCCCTGTGTGTCCCTCACCTGTGCATCAGCACCCCCTTTATGCAGCCCTGTTTGTCCCCCTCACCTGTGCATCTGCACCCCTTTAAACAGCCCTCCTGTTCTCTCCTTTCCCTCCTCACCTGTGCATCTGCACCCCCCTTTATACAGCCCCATGCTTCCTCACCTGTGCATCAGCGACGGCCCCTTTATACAGCCCTGTGTGTCCCCTCACCTGTTCATCGGCAACCCCTTTTATACAGTCCCTGTGTGTCCTCCCCACCTGTACACTGGCAACCCCTTTATACAGCCCTGTGTCCTCCCTCACCTGTGCATCTGCAACCCTCTTATACAGTCCTGTGTATCCTCCCTCACCTGTGCATTGGCACCCTCTTATATACAGCCCTGTGTGTCCTCCTCACCTGTGCACCTTCTGTGCAACCCCCTTATACAGCCCCTGTGTGTCCTCCTCATCTGTGCATCCAACCCCTTATGCAGCCCTGTGTGTCCCTCCACCTGTGCCTCGGCAACCCCCTTTATACAGCCCTGTGTGTCCTCCCTCACCTGTGCATCAAGCACCCCCTTTTATACAGCCCTGTGTGTCCCCTCACCTGTGCATCAGCACCCCCTTTATACAGCCCTGTGTGTTCCCCTCACCTGTGCATCAGCACCCCCTTTATACAGCCCCCTGTGTGTCCCCTCACCTGTGCATCAGCACCCCCTTTATACAGCCCTGTGTGTCCCCTCACCTGTGCATCAGCACCCCCCTTTATACAGCCCTGTGTGTCCCCTCACCTGTGCATCAGCACCCCCCTTTATACAGCCCTGTGTGTCCCCCTCACCTGTGCATCAGCATCCCCCTTTATACAGCCCTGTGTGTCCCCTCACCTGTGCATCAGCACTCCCCTTTATACAGCATCCGTACGGCTGTGTCCCCCTCTTCCTGTGTCCCCCTCAGCCCTGTGTTTCCTCCTTCAGTGCAACCCCCTTTATACAGCCCCTGTGTCCCCTCACCTGTGCATCAGCACCCCCCTTTATACAGCCCTGTGTGTCCCTCACCTGTGCATCATGCACCCCCTTTATACAGCCCTGTGTGTCCCCTCACCTGTGCATCAGCACCCCCTTTATACAGCCCTGTGTGTCCCCCTCACCTGTGCATCAGCACCCCCTTTATACAGCCCTGTGTGTCCCCTCACCTGTGCATCAGCACCCCCCTTTATACAGCCCTGTGTGTCCCCTCACCTGTGCATCAGCACCCCCCTTTATACAGCCCTGTGTGTCCCCTCACCTGTGCATCAGCACCCCCCCCTCTATACAGCCCTGTGTGTCCCCCCTCACCTGTGCATCAGCACCCCTTTATACAGCCCTGTGTGTCCCTCACCTGTGCATCAGCACCCCTTTATACAGCCCCTGTGTGTCCCCTCACCTGTGCATCAGCATCCCTCTTTATACAGCCCTGTGTGTCCCTCACCTGTGCATCAGCACCCCCTTTATACAGCCCTGTGTGTCCCCTCACCTGTGCATCAGCACCCCCTTTATACAGCCCCTGTGTGTGTCCCCTCACCTGTGCATCAGCACCCCCTTTATACAGCCCTGTGTGTCCCTCACCTGTGCATCAGCACCCCCTTTATACAGCCCTGTGTGTGCTCCCTCACCTGTGCATCAGCACCCCCTTTATACAGCCCTGTGTGTCCCCTCACCTGTGCATCAGCACCCCTTTATACAGCCCTGTGTGTCCCCTCACCTGTGCATCAGCACCCCCCTTTATACAGCCCTGTGTGTCCCCTCACCTGTGCATCAGCAACCCCCTTTATACAGCCCTGTGTGTCCCCTCACCTGTGCATCAGCACCCCCTTTATACAGCCCTGTGTGTCCCCTCACCTGTGCATCAGCACCCCTTTATACAGCCCTGTGTGTCCCCTCACCTGTGCATCAGCACCCCCTTTATACAGCCCTGTGTGTCCCCTCACCTGTGCATCAGCATCCCCCCTTTATACAGCCCTGTGTGTCCCCTCACCTGTGCATCAGCATCCCCCTTTATACAGCCCTGTGTGTCCCCTCACCTGTGCATCAGCACCCCCCTTTATACAGCCCTGTGTGTCCCCCTCACCTGTGCATCAGCACCCCCCTTTATACAGCCCTGTGTATCCTTCTCATTGTTGGCAGCATTTTCCCACAGCGGGGTCCACACATTGCCCGGTGAAAACCTGAAATGGAAACAGATTTATGTTAATGTTGGATGATAGCTTGGAGTGCTCTTGGACATTTCAAATTTCTTTCGGTCTTATAACCCATTTGTACAGCATGAAGAGACTGTATTTCACTGGACATCACGTGGCGTTGTGGACAGGGTACAGCACTAGCTCCCCCCATTAGTACCTGGTCAAATTTTTCTCAGCAGTCATTGTGGCTGCCTCCCTTGATTGCCAACAGAATATAGCCTACATAGTTTCAGTCATGAATTCTTTCATAGACAAATGTTATATTAACTTGCCAAAGTCATGGAAATGATTTTTTAACCAACTGACATTGAAATATGACTCTGACACTTTCATTATTCAAGTTGCCACAAACCATTACTGGACTTTCCATTTTCATATTGTGACAACGATATTCAATGAAATTATATTAAAGCACAGGATGAAGAATGCTGGGTCTTTCTTTCTGCTAATCTTACAAAAACAATTAATGAAAATGCTATACTTACGAATTGACTCTTACATTGTACTTGGATTCATCCACCGCAAGTGCCTTGGTCATCGCTGTGATCCCACCCTGGAACAAACACACCTTGTCACAAAATAGTCATCCCTCAAAAATACACAAATATTGCATCTTACTGAAAAACAATTTCTCTTTGCCTGTGAGTGAGTTGGTTGTTACACCACTTTTAGCAATTGTCCAGCAATAGCACGGCAGGGGACGCCAGAAATGGGCTTCACACATTGTACCCATGTGGGGAATAGAACACGGGCCTTTAGTGTGACGAGCAAACACTTTAACCACTAGGCTACCCCACCAGCCCTCTTTGCCTGTGAACAGTCAGCTATAACGAAGCTAGTCATAATAGTATGAATAGAGTCAGACACACCTCAGGGAGACCACTGTGTCTGCGATGTAAGCAGCAACAGGATGTAACCTAGCAGTTGTGATAGTGATATGCAATCAGCTAGACATTGCGCCTGAACACTCAGTGTGAAGAACAGACAACCAACCATTATCAGATTATATCCACCCACCCTTATTACAGTGTTATCCAATTTCGTAATCCATTATCAGATTATATTCACCCACCCTTATTACAGTGTTATCCAATTTCGTAATCCATTATTAGATTATATCCACCAACCCTTATTACAGTGTTATCCAATTTCGTAATCCATTATTAGATTATATCCACCCACCTTTATTACAGTGTTATCCAATTTGACAATCCATTATTAGATTATATCCACCCACCCTTATTACAGTGTTATCCAATTTGATAATCCATTATTAGATTATATCCACCCACCCTTATTACAGTGTTATCCAATTTCGTAATCCATTATTAGATTATATCCACCCACCCTTAATACAGTTTTATCCAATTTGATAATCGATTATCAGATTATATCCACCCACCCTTATTACAGTGTTATCCACTTTCGTAATCCATAACCTAACAAACCCATTATCAAACTATATCCACCCATCCTTACATCAGTGTTATCCAATTCCATAATTCTTAACAAAAGAAACCATTACCAAATTTTATCCACATCCCATTTTCGCCTTCACAATATTGCCCTAACTTCCCTCAATTCCTTAACTGAGTCTGTGTGTTGCCTCATGTGTGCCAACAAAACTGAATTTAACCCAAGACATTGATTCGTTAATAAAGCATGCAGCTATAGACCCTCACCTTCGTAGCGACATAAGTGACCGCTCCCGTTTGTCCGATCTGCCCAACCAGGCTTGAGTCGTTGATGATATTTCCTTCCGTTTTCCGTAGATAGGGCAGAGCATACTGAAATGTTTACATCATACATGTAAACTGTGAGACTGTGAGTGGACACTACAAGTGGTCTTCATTCACGGCCACAGTGTGTGTGTGTGTGGGGGGGAAAGCAAAGGCTCTAATTACACTTGGCTACCCCATTACCCCGATTCGTTAAAAACAAATTCATAAATCGTAAATTAAAACAAAGGGCAGCCCTATGTAATAACTCAAATGAACTGGTCTGATAATGTACAGTTTCTGTCTACTGGTGATAAAAAAGGTACTGGAGCTCACCTTTGCAGCAAGGAAGTAGCTGACAAGATTAAGATTGAGCAGACTTCGGAAGTCATCAGCACTGAACTCATCTATTGTGTGGAATGGTGGATCTGAAAGAAACTAAAAGTTGCTTAATACTTCTCTGTGTTGTGTACAACATAATTCATCTCAATCGTGTTTATGATTAACAGTCTCAATCCATTATAATATGTACTACAAACAAAATACAACAAAAGAAATAAGACTTCAGTTACCATTCCAAATGTTAAAAGAAGTTTTCATACGTTCAGAATATACCTGGGACGGGTAAAAACAATATTGTTTGATTGTTGGAAACATGATTATTATTTAAATTTATATAGGAAACCAGGGACTGCATCCAGGCCGTCCCATCATGTTTCAATTTCACTACCATGTTTCCCCATATTTAACAGCAACCATTACTCACGGCTTCCAGCATTGTTGATGAGACAGTCTATCTGACCATATTTTTCTACAGTCTTGTCAATGAGGTTCTGAAATAGAACTGGGTGAGTATACATATTACCATCTTTCTGGTTCAGCTTGTTTTTTTATCAAACATTGTTGTTGCTTGTTGTTTAACGCCGGATTCAGCAATAAAATGATTGAGTCTGGACCACACAATCCAGTGATCAACAACATGAGCATCAATCTAAGCAGTTAGAATACAATGACATGTGTCAACCAAGTCAGCGAGCCTGACCACCGGATTACGACATGCATGGTTTAGTGAGACCAATTTTTCTAACCTGGGTACTTTATCAAACATAAAGTTAAACAATATTGATATTTTTGTACTAATGAATGATTCTGGCATGCCACCCCTAAGTATCCACCTTAATGTCATCTTCATTGGACACATCACAAGGGACGAAATACGCCTCTCCGGGACCCACAGCATTCAGCTCCTGCTCCAGTTGTTTCCCTTCAGACTCTAAACAAACAGGGATGAAAGACAAAATTCTGGCTATAAGCTTAACATCCAGTATCTTACTATAAATCAGTGTAACATACTAGTATTTCCTTCCGGCATTGACACATCTGAATTAATTTGGCCTTAATAGATTTTATTGTACATCAATATTAATGTGGGGTGAGGTGAGGTGAAATTGGGTTTAACGTCGTACTTGAGAATAGTATGCTCATATGACAACGTGCATGCATGTGTATGTGTATGGTGCGGCTGCTTGTACTACCCCAGACTGAAGCTGGTTTTATAGTGCTAGCCCACTGAGATACCATACCACACTCAGACACATTATACTGACTCCGAGCCGACCAGTCCTTGTTGTACCCATTAATGCCCAGCGCCAGGCAGGGACCAACAAGTACCATATTTTAATGTCTTTTGGTATGACGCGGTTGGGGATCGAACCCGCGAACTTCCGCTCTCCGGGCGGACGCTCTAACCACTGCACAACGGAGGCAGTCCAATATTAATGTGAACATTCAATTATTAAATCATAAACATGTGTCACTCCAGTGAAACATACAAGCTGCATGTTGCCAGACTAAGGATCATGAATGAGGCAGAATCAAACCAATTAGCTAAGGGAAGTAACTCTGCACAGCAAACTCACATCACACTCTACAGCCTGGACAAGGCATTGAACTTTTCACATGATAAACAGGTATGTTATGTCAAATATTTGTCGCCGACAGCCTTCTATTTCCCCTTTTATTTCAACAGAGGGCTGCTTCTCCACTGGCTATATGTAGAGAGTTGTACGTGCCACCCGTATTTGGCTAACCCGCCAAATCTCGTGCGTTTCATGCCTGTGACGTGTGACACTTTCATGTCACCATCCGACCATGTCGGACGCATACAACATCTTTCTCATGTTGTTCATATTTCACAGGTAAGCACCCTCTCTACATATATTCTTTCTACATCTATATCATTGCTAGTATACATATTATTATCATCAACATAGTAATAACATATATCTTAAGTTAGTAATTAATCGCGACCGCGTAATGTAAACTTTCTCTCGCGTGGATCACTTACTAACTTAAAGCACTAGCATTGCATGTAAGACAGTGTGTGAATGATCAATAATTATGATTTTATATCTACAGTATACTAAATCATCAGTTGTATATAATTTTGACTGATCGCTAATGCGTGACGTCACATCAATTGTAAATATCCCGGACTAAACGCTTATGCGTGACGTCATATATATTTTATCAATTATACAATTATAGCATAACTATTATATACCAATCTTATATCTATAATTGTATTGTTTATTGCCGATGTATTCATATAAGATATAGACACTTTCATGTCACCATCCGACCATGTCGGACGATACAACATCTTTCTCATGTTGTTCATATTTCACAGGCAATAAACTGGTGCATATCTTAAGCGACATTCCCGTCTCATCAATTATTGTCCTTGGGACAATCTCAAGACCAGAACCCGCGACAATTGGCTCGAACAGGGACGGGTTCATCATAACATCGCGTCAACCAGTGCCAACGAACCAAGAACAACCCCACGATATCATCACGACACCGTCACGGTACAGCTCACCTGGACGCCATCTTCAAGGATCGTCATATACGTGAGATTTGCGCCAGTGATTTCGTGGTGTGTATATGTCAACTTCTATTTGACTGTGATAAGACACTTTACATCTTATATATTCTAGACCTTATCTGTGATATCCATATATACATGTGACACTCTAAACAAGACTGTGATAAACGTGTGATATCTGTGATCATCAGTGAGACATTGGGAGACATTCAGCTGCTAAAGTGCATTTTATATGTGACATTCCATTTATATCCATGAATTTGCTATATTCATAACATTGATATCTGCATTGATTTCATGGATCAGTTGTATTCATACTATTGACATTTGTCACCATGCCATAATATTGCATGAATGCATTGAATTTCGCATAACTGTGCAATATTGACATAACTTGACTTCATCATATTAGTTAGATTAGTGTAATTAGTTAGATTAGTTCAATTAGTTAGATTAGTTTAGTTAGATTAATTTAGATTAGTTTAGACAAGTTTAGTTATATTTATAAATAAACAAGCTACCTATATTGTCTGTAAAAACGACAATGCATACTTAAGTATTATATTAGTGTGTTGACTTAGTGCAATAGTTGATTGTTTACATTTTATGTTTGCTTGTGTGTATGCGTCAGTCATTTTCATTTGCACTAATTATACAGCCATGCACTCGCGTTAACATTTCGCGTCCGCTCACCGGCTGGGTCAAGGCGTCAGCGCTTGTTAATCGTTATAAACTGTTAGGATAATATACTTAGGGTCTTTTCCATTTTCCCCTATCCTATAGTGCTTCCCTCGCCCTATCCTATAGGCGCATTGCCTCCCTTGTTTCACACAGATCAACTGGCGTTGTGTTTCTTTCTCATGGTGTTGTTTGCTTTTTGCCTTGGGTAAGTTTGTTGCTGTTGGGTGCTCAAGTTTGCATTTGCACACTTGTGCAAGTTTTATACTCTCTGCACACCCTTAGCATTTATTACCGTAGTAACTCTTAGAGTTGCGCTTATGCTTAGCTCTTGCTTCACACCTTGGTATACCACGCACAGTATCATACACTCTGCAATATCAGAGCATATTCTATCACAGATACATTCATGCTTCCCTCCATGTTTGCTATTCCTTGTTTACTGTTTGTGCACAGTAGATACTTTACCTAGCGTAATAGTATCAGCATCGTTTATATGTTACCACCGTAGTTACCCTGCTGGGTCTACTCGTGGTTGTATAAACCAGTAAACACTTCATGCTTTTCTTTGCTGGTCATTGGTGTTTACCTTTCACTCGTTATACCACGGATCGAGGACAACATGGCTCAAGGTGGTGAAGATTGGGAGATCAAGTCCGAGGGTATTTCCAAGAGGACGAAGCCAGGATGTTGACCTATCTTCAGGGACTGGGAAATACACCATTCGCTCCATACCCACTTCTTCTACACCACACTCAAGAAACTTCTCCACACCTAGTTTTCCATCTTATGTCCCAACACCAGGATCGTTTCCTTTTCCTCCTTCAACCTATCCACCTGCACCATGGCCTACACTCCAGCCGCTACTCAGGATTTCAGCCTTCTCAGGTGAAGAGCCAGTGCAGAAAGGGGAGACAACTTTCGAGAACTGGAAGTTTGAGATTCGTTGCTTGATGAGGGATGACAGCATTACATCTTCAACTCTTATGCAAGCTGTGAGGAAGTCACTCAGAGGAGATGCCGCCGTGTGTTAGTTACTCTAGGAGAATATGCTACAGTCACAGATATTCTACAGCGTTTGAGGGCCCCTACGGAACCATTATCACGGCCAAACAGCTTCTTCAACAGTTTCATCAGGCAACTCAGAAGGATTCGGAGACAGTGGCTTCATGGGGAATCAGGCTTGAGGACATCCTACAGAGTGTGCATGATAGAGGGTCCTACTTGGATACACAAGCAAGACAGGCCATGCTACGGAATCGGTTCTGGACAGGGTTGAGGAATCTGGCATTGAAGGATGCAACACGTCAATCTTTTTACTCGTCGATGGATTTCCACACACTACTACAGACCATTCGACTGATTGAACAGGAAATCAACAACAGCCAGCCTGTCAAGCCAAGACCCAGTCGTAGTCAGCACCAACCTCAGACATTAGGATTCTCACAACCACTAGAAGGATCTACTTCCTCTCCTCAGGATCAAAGTGCTCGACAGCTGTCCGACATTACAAAGAGGCTTGAGAAGTTGGAATTGGCATCCAAGAAACCGTCAACAGACAGTCATCTTCTCCAGCAGATTCTGGACAGACTGAAGGCATTGGAAACCCAGGAGACCCAGCAACAACAGTACTCCCTTCAGCCACAACGGACTCAATGGTAGAGGAAGAAGAGGACGTGGTCGAGGTCAAGTATACTCGAAGAAGGAAGACAAGGATTCTTTAAACTAAGCCAGCCTACTGCTGCGGGGCATGCTGAGGCTGAGGGAACTACTAGCCCCATATCAGATTTACATCGACGGATGGTTGGCAAAGCCAACGAGGCAGTTATCGACATAGAGAGAATCAACTGTCCAGCCTTGATTGATCCAGGATCTATGGTTTCAACTGTATCTGAGGGATACCACGCGTCATGCCTTACTCATCTTCCACTACGGCAGCTCAAGGACTTTGAGATCGGAAGTAATGGGTGCAGGCGATAACATCCTTCCATACTCAGGATATTTGGAGGCCAAGATCTACATCCCTTCATTGACAAGGAGTTGGACATTGTTCTACTAGTCACCAGAGACACAGAGTACAACAGGCGAAAGTACCACTAGTGATCGGAACCAACGCCATAGATCTTATGAAGAGATTTTTGGTACCTGTAGATAACACCATACCAGCCTCTTGGCTTACTGCATTACGTTCGCAAGCTAATGGAATCATTGGACAAGTAAGATCTACTAACAAGACACCGATCCACCTTCAACCAAACCAGATGATGACCATCGATGGACTTGTAAGGCCATCCGCCTGGAAGAGCCACAGCTATCACCGAACACCATGACTTGGACTCTGACCTTCGACAGGACTCTCAGTTTGCCCAAGACTCGTTGAAATAGGTAAGCGAGGTAACTCCTCCAGGGTTCCTGTTCAGCATTTGCAACATGTCAGCCAGGACCATCACTATACCCGCCAAGACCAGACTCTGTCAGCTTCAATGAGGTTCGAAAGTGCTCAGTGAAGTACCTGTCGATGCTCTGCCAACAAAGACCAACACCATCCAGGAAACTCATACCTCACCAGTGGACTTTGACCTCTCGAAAGTTGTATCACCGATGGACAGAGGGACGAAGCCTTGACTATGCTTCCAAGATGGAACTGCATCATGTCCAAGAGCCTCATTGATTTGGGACACACCACAGCTGTGCAACATGAAATCAAC